AAGTCCAGATTTGTGACACATTTTATGGGTTGGGGAAACCCACAAACTTAGGCACACAAAGAAATCACTTTATACCGTTTATACCAATCACGGATGTGTGCTAATCATCGAATGATCCTGTGTGCGTTAATTTTTCAGTGATGGCAAAGGGTGAGAAAAAAGGTAAGCCGACAACCAAGAGATTGAAGACTGCAGATGAGGGTTCATCATCATCGTCATCATCACTGGCAACATCTCCTCCATCTAAGAAACTGAAAACTGAAAATGGAACATCAGATGACTCTGAGCAAGAGGTAAGTCTTGCTGCATTGATTAAAAAAAAATTGTTTGTACTGTGGATTTGTGTTAAGTACCCGAGTAAGGCCCCCCCCCCCAAGTTTCTGGTATGCGCGCGCATCACCATAGCCATGCGCGTCGGCAAAATGAAAAAGTATTTTTTTCAATGTAAGATGATGTCTCAAACCGCCAAACTCACTGGTTTGACTGGAATCCTGCTGCTGCACAATCACCATTTGCGGTCATCAGCCGACATTGAAGAAAAAAAAAACGGTAAAAAAAAAAAAAAAAAAATTTGCGTCGCCGCACCACTTTTGAGGCAAGCTCCATACCAGTTGAGTCTTTTTTTTAGGCCTTAAGCCTAGTTTTTAATTCGAGGTAAGAAACACAGAGAGCAACGCAACAACTGACCGAAACTGCAACACAGACATACAAAAATCTTGCAGACAATCTGCAAATTCTTTTGCGGTACCTCAAGGACTGGGTGTAGCATTGTGCCACCCTGCAGGGTTTTCGCCAACGAATTACTGGTGAAATCCAAGCCCTCAGAAGAACACGGATGGTCCGCAGAGCTATTGCAGACAAGAGAACACAGGCCACAACTATGCATTGATCTGAATGACAGACAGGGGGAAGGTCTAGCAGCAAGACAGTGAAAATGTGAACCTTATCTGTAATTGCTTTACCGAACATCATCCTTGGCTCCCGGTTTTAATGTACAAACATGACAAAACGTACCGAACATCGTTGTTGAAAAAAGTCAACAGATAAACAAAAAAACCTACCGGATGTACATGTATTAAACACTGTTGGGGCCACTTTTAATTCCCGAACATCAAATCACCCATGGTTACATTGCGGTTGAATGTTGCAGAGCAATAGATGGCTATTATTTCCCTAAGGAATAAAAGTGAAAACCATCCGTTGCTAAAGTTTTGTGACAGCTCCTTGTGTCAGTTCAGTGACTTCACTATTGGTCAAAAGAGGGTACCGGCGGTTCAAAATCTGTATACTGAACGATCGTTTCTATGAACACTTTCTGTGGATCCCACGATGTTCGTTATAGCGGCGTTCCACTATTTTACATGCAACTTCTTGATGTTTTACCCTCAATCTTTGCAAAATCCACAAAATTCATCCTGGTGCATTTTGAAGTTTTTTTGGGACTGCAAAAATGTGCTGTCTGAAGTTGATGTCTTGTGAAAGTGAGTTTTTCTTCAAAATTTCGATTTTTAAAACTGATTGTAGAAGAATTTAGTTTCAACAGGTGAAATCTGCCCCCTCTGAAGCTCAGGGCATCATGGAGAAACTTGCGGCTCTCCGTCTGCGTACAGCAGGTTCAGTGGCAGCTTTCAAGTTCAACAAGAAGCGGGTGCGAGTTTTGTCGCAAGTCAAGGACGTACCGGAGGGCTGTCACGGGATCGTGTATTGGATGTCCAGAGATCAACGAGTGCAGGGTCAGGATTGAATCATGTTATTGTCTGAAATAAGGACATCTTTAACCCTAACACCTTTGGTTTATTTACTAGAAAGTATCCTGAATCTGCCAAAATCCATCCATTTTGCCATGCACAAAAATGTTGGTGGCCAGTGAGTCCATCAGAATCCACCAGTTAGCCGGGAGTAAATCTGTTGAGATCCTGAATCCATCAAAGTCCCCCAACAGCTCAATATGGAGGTATCCTGAATCCATCAAAATCCTGCAGTACCGCTAGGCTTCATGTCCTGAATCCATCAAAATACCCCAACTTTTTCAATATGGAGGTATCCTGAATCTGCCGAAATCCCCCGAAACAGGGGTGTGGATTTTGAGGGTTAAAGGAAAAGTTAAAGGAAAAGGTTTCTGATTTAATACAAGAACATTTTAATTTACCTTCATTGAGCTGTTCGTATCTCTGTTTTGTATTGCATTTGTACTCGTGTCCGTCACATAAAAAAAACAATCAAAACCCTAAGTACGTAGATGCAGTTCAATCATCTGATAATTAAAAATCCTTGATATGATACTGTTATTTCAGAACTAAATAAACAAATTCTTGAATGTTTTGAAATCATGGACACCCCCAATAACAGGCTGTACAAGAATGTACTCGTACTTAAACCTTAATAAAATTTCTAAACAAACTTCGCTTACTTGAGGCCTACATGTGGATGAGGTTGAACCCAATTAAAAGTTGCAAGTGAAAAGAATCTGCAATTTTTTTCCTACAGATTATAGGAAACCAATGAGTGTCACTTATTTGAACTCAACTAAAGAAGTCAAAATGTTAATTACTTGAGTTCTTGATAACTTACACTTGGTTTGAATTCTTAACTGGTAACACATCCACTTTAACTCGGGTGAAACCTCAACTATAACTCTGGTGAAAGCTTTCATTTACATTTTCAATTTTTGTTTATTCTCCATTTCCTTTTCCAGATAATTGGAGTATGTTGTACGCCCAGCGCCTTGCCATGAAGCTGGCAGTACCACTCCGTGTCTGCTTCTGTCTACAGCCCAGGTTCCTAGATGCAACTATTCGTCATTTTGCTTTCATGTTGAAGGGACTTGCCGAAGTTGAGCAGGTTTGTATGGTACTGAGAATTTAGATGTTGAAGTAATTATGCCAGAGTCACCTTTTGTTTGATAGTGGCCATGATTGTCCGCTTTGAACAGCGCACCCTATAGGAAGATGGTGTCAGAGATGAAGTTATGTTTATGTACAAGTACAGTAACAAGAAAGAGGGGTGAAAGATAACAAATGAATGCCTGTCAAAATTCATATGTACAGCTTGTAACTTGACCTGATTAACTTGTAAGTTGACCTAAGACTGAGTGACTTGTGATGACTTGTCTACAACTATCAAGTTTGCCAATCTCTTCACCCCGTGCCTACGCCCAATTCCAGGTGTATCCCACTGCCACACCCACCTCCATATCCACCCACCCCCACCTTCATCCTTATCCCAACCCTCTTCCATCCCTACCCCACTCCCGCTCCCACCCCCACCACCCATTCCAAAATTTGTATCCTTGTGGAGACATTTCTTTGTTCCCGTGTAGTAAAGTGTTCAATTTTGAAAGTGAATTTTCAAAATGCTCTTATTTTAACCAGAATGAGTTTCCTTGGCTGAAATTTGGAATTAATATCCCTTTTCTAAAACTCTTCCATTTGCGACAGATCAATCCACCTTGGAAATTCCTAGTTTTTGAGTAAAACCCATATATCTATTTCGTGAAAACCTTGTGGAGACCTATTCATCTATAGAAATTGCCCTGTGGAGACCTTTACAATGTTTTGTTCACTATTGTGTGTGAGTCTCCACAAGGCTACAAATTTGTGGTCACCATCCCCACCCGCACTCACCCCACCCCTAGACCCACCCCAACCCCATCCCCACCCCAACCCCATCCCCACCCCAACCCCATCCCCACCCCAACCCCATCCCCACCCCAACCCCATCCCCACCGACACCCCTTTCCCCCTACAAGATCTACATGTATGTGAGACAGCTAGAGCAAATCCATTAGAATTTTTACCCATTATCTTTAAGATATGAGTTGAAAGATTTGATAGACAGTGAAACTCAAGTTTGGTTAAAAAACTTCAAATCTTTAAGAAAAATGAAAAAGAGTTTGTTCTTAAAGAAATCTTTATGTTGATTGATATGTGATTTTTTTTAGGAACTTAAAGAGCTGGACATACCGTTCCATCTTCTGATTGGTGAAGCCAAGGATGTGCTGCCTAACTTTGTGAAAGATCACAACATTGGCGGCCTGGTAACAGACTTCTCTCCACTCAGGGTTCCATCAAAGTGGGTCAAGGAAGCCACAGAGAGTTTGCCAGACATTCCCGTGTGCCAGGTAATAACTGCATATAGACTCGCGCACTAGCACCCCTCAACTGTTACGAGAATATTTGGAGGGACTCACGAACATATTGCCCCCTGCATTATATTTCAATTGATGAAAACAAATTTTGCTCGATAAACCTCACTCCCCAAGGCCAACCTGCCCCAATGTTTGAGAAAAAAATGGTTTCAAAAATTCTGTCTTTATTAATCAGAGTGTTTTGATAAGCTATGATTGAAAAATTATAGCCGTGGCCTCGTGGTCGGGAACATCAAATTCGTGGACTGTGGGTAATTCTGCAGGTTGTGGGTTCGAGTCCAGCCTGGGGTTATGGTGCGTGCGCCCTTGGGCAAGGCACTTTGTCACTCCTTGCTTCTCCTTCCCCACCCAGCAGTAAATGGGTACCTGTGAGGGCAGAGATGGTTATTGTGGTTGATTTTTAGCTGCCTTGCTCCAAAATGGCAGCATTGAGCTCTATACTCCCAAGGGAGCTGAGATGGTATTTGGAATGTTTAATTAGTCCAATGATCAATATTAATGTAAAGCACTTTGATCTTTATAGTTATAAATACCATATAAGAACCCATTATTATTATCATTATTTTCCCATGCTGTTGCAGCCACGATGTCAACCAAATCATGTCAACCAAATCATCAACCAGCTTTCTTTTTTTGCCAGAGATCAGAAGCGAATGTCTTGGACTTAGCACAGGAAATAGTTGCTTAGCAAAAAATAGGTTACCAGCTAAAATGTCATATGTTCCGTATTGCTTGTGACTGGTCCACCGCAGATTTTCGCTTAGCGCATACATTTTCTTAGCAGTATTTTCTTGCTTAGAAGCTCCACGAAAGTGGCGCCCACTTTGAGAGTTTCATTTCTTTGCCATGACAGGTAGACACGCACAACATCGTACCGTGCTGGGAGGCCTCGCCCAAACTTGAGTACGGAGCCCGCACCATCAGACCAAAGATAACTAAACTACTGCCAACATTCTTGACGGAATTTCCTCCCGTTGTCAAACATCCACACCAAGCGAAACCAATGCCTAAGGTTAGTGATAGACTTGTAATTTGACTAACGATGTACTTTTCTTTCTTTCTTTTTAGCCCTTTCCTTACCATGGGCGACTTTTGTCTACAAGAACTACCCCCCTGCTGATTCCCATGGGCGACTTTAGTCGACCAGGAAACCACACACAAAACACCCTCAACACAGACATATTCACTACTTTTCAGAAAGGCGGCATGTTGATATGTTTGGCTGCCCATACATCAACTATATACCAGCTGAAAGAGTGTTTTCGGATCTTTCTATTGGTGTGGTTTATTCATAGTGTTACCACTACAAAAAAATGAGAAAAGTGCTTCAGAAGTATCCACGCACAATTTGAGGTATGGAGTGCCATTTGGTCATGTGGTGAAATGGCTTGCAGTTTGATAATTGGGACCAGATGAACAAACAGGCATAACTTTCTTATATTTGCACGTATGGACTTCATTATTACATCACATAAAAGAGTAAAGTTCAAGGAACAAACTTTACACACAACACCTATGATTTTAATCACTCCTTGGCAGTGAAAATCTGGGTTGAAAAAAAGTGAGTTTTTTACTCCTGCTCATTTTTTCACGCTCTGGTGATTTCCGCATGACTGAGCAAACAATTTGGTCCTGGGGAGAGCCAAGTCAATAAACAATGTGGGCATGAAAGGGTTAGATTACAACTATGTCACCTACAAGATGCTGTGATTTGAAATCCCTCATAAAAAATAGCCGAGTCAAAATTTGCATTGTTCCATCAGCCAGTGGACTGGGATGCTGCCGATTGCTCCCTTGACGTCGACCGTACCGTCGGAGAAGTATCGTGGGCCAAACCAGGCACGACAGCAGGCTTGCTAATGCTGGAAGAGTTCTGCCTCAAACGACTCAAGTACTTCGGGGCGGACAGAAACAACCCCAACAAGTCTGCGCTCAGTAACCTCTCCCCGTGGATTCACTTTGGTACGTGTTAAAGCTACAGTCCATCATTTGCAGCTATCAAAATTGTGACTGACGTAATTATTGTTGAAAAACATACTTGGTTGAAAGATAGTAAGGGGACTAAACTCCCTGTGAAATTATTCTTTCTGGCATGCTGTCAATTTGAAGAAATCAACGAAAGAAGGCCTTTCCATCAGTGCGTCTTAAGACGTACCGTTGGAATTTTCCGTTAGTAGTTCGTTTTTTATACGGCGAAGCGCGCAAGTGTTGACATGACGCACACGCGCGCGCCTTCTATAACTCGTCGGATCAGTGCGTGACATCGCGTAGCTGCATTCGGCTCAGTAAGAATGTGTCTCGGACGCTGAATTCAGGCCCAATTCAAAACAAGATTCAGCAACTTTTGATTTGAAATCGAGATCCTAGAATGTTGTTTTTCTCGAAAAATACAGCTGACGCTGAGCTGAAACTTCATCAGGTTAGTTGCTTATCACCCTTCTTTAGATTTTGAGAATGTTTGTTGCTTCAAACGAACAAAATGCACAAATTACAAATGATGGACTATACCTTTAACAGGAGTCAATTTTGTGGAGAAGTGAAGCGCAGAAATTTGCTTAAAGAACAGAAAATATTTATTTAGCAAAAAAAACCAGATTACTGGCCACAATTCCATGCCAAATTATCTGCTGGAGAAATATCTGAAGATGACACAGACCCAGAATGATTGAAGTTTCCGTTTCACAGATTGATGCCTTTTTTTAAGATTCAGCTAAAAAGTGTGATCAAACTTTAAGACGTTTCTTTGTCCACGCCGTTGTATTTTGTAGGTCAGATATCAGCCCAACGTGCCGCTCTGGTCGTGCGTGGCTATCGCAGCAAGTACAGTAAGTCGGTGGAAGGGTATATCGAGGAGAGCGTGGTTCGACGCGAGCTGTCCGACAATTTCTGCTTCTACAATGAGAACTATGACTCAATCCAAGGTACGTGTTTGTACCGTCCATCGAGAAAAAAATGATGAGAAAATTGATGAAAAGATCTTTTCTGTAAGGCATGTTCTGAACAACCAGTTCAGAACTGTTCAACATTTTACTTGTGACACATTTCACGTATGTCTCATAGTGTGCAAGTCCTCGACTTGCGCAACAAATCATGGCGTAACTTGCACAATCATTTTAGGTGGCGTAAGTTGAGGCATAGCGACTGAAAATGACCTATTTTACAAGTAAATCGTGATCATCATGGAGACTGTCATTGCACAACTGATCAAGATTGAAACAAGATTCTCACAGTTTTGTGTTTGAGTAACATTATTTGCTATTTTACTCGTGACAGAAATTTTAAGAGTTGCCGCACGATTCCGAAGAAAGTCGGACAAACTTATTTTCAGAATGGTGGACTGAGGTGATTCAATGATTGTTTTGTGAACGATCAAATTCATACACAAACAGCCGTTGTAAATGCTTTATTATCCTAGTCCAAGATGTTTAGATAATTGAAAACGTTGCGCAGCTATTCCAAATTTGGTGAAATCGATCCTAAGTCTATTGCGCAACTGCGTAACAAAAACTGCGCAGCAAATTTGTTGCGTACATGTAAGTCCTACGCGTGGCGTAAGCTACGCACTTTTTCATGAAATCGGCTGATGTACTTTTTTCTTCTTCAGGAACCAATGACTGGGCCAAGCAAACACTGAAGGTGCATGCTAAAGACAAGAGGGAGTACGTCTACAGCAAGGAACGGCTTGAAAAGGCCAGGACCCATGACGACCTGTGGAATGCTGCACAGGTACGAAGCATTAAAGTATTGACCCAAGCACTCGCATTGTCGGATCAAGATTTGGAAAGGGTGGGGGGCACATTGCCAGGAAGTTGGGGTGTTCTAGGCTGCCAAATTACGCCAATTTTCAATGTGGTATTTTTGATTTGGTTGGGGAGGGGCTGGGTAGGCTTTGCCTGGAAAGGGGAGGGGGGGAGGGTGGGGGCCGGGCTTGGGGTGGGAGGTTGGCTAGGCTGGGCATCATTAACCCTAACCCACCTCACTCCTCAAAAATCCTCCTGGCGGTTTTGGAGGATTCTAGAGGATTGAGGATGAATGGTGATTGAATCAAATGAGGATTCTGGAGGATTGAGGATGAATGGTGATTGAAGCACATGAGGATTTTGGAGGATTGAGGATGAATGGTGATTGAAGCACAAGAGGATTTTGGAGGATTGAGGATGAATGCATTTTGAGGCAGGACTGTCTGACAATTTTGAAAAATTTAGGCGGAGTTGCAAAATTTTGGAGGATTTTGGAGGATTGAGGATGGTTGTAAGCAACAAGGGCCTAGGGGGTTAGGGTTAACAACTAGTATTATTCCCTCCTTTCCTTGAGACAGGTTCAGCTTGTCAAAGAAGCCAAGATGCACGGCTTCTTGAGGATGTACTGGGCCAAGAAGATCTTGGAGTGGACCCCGTCCCCGGAGGAAGCACTGGAGATTGCCATCTACCTCAACGACAAGTACAGCCTGGATGGCCGAGACCCCAATGGCTACGTGGGTAAGGACTTACACGTAAGGGGGAAAAATATAGATAAACCCTTGCTCTAACACACCCTCCAATTCACTTCAATACTTGCTGAAAATGATTTGACTTTGAAACTTTCAAGAAGGATCACAAACATTTACAGATATGAGACTAGATCCGAGGTCAATTCCAGTATCTATAACCAAAACATTGACCTGAGAGCGCAAGATTATGAAATGAGATGGATATTTGGTTCAAACATTATTCTCCGTGAAAGATTTATTTAACCTTTAAGACTTGTGGTTTTAAGTGCTTATTAGTATTTGTCTCGAAACGAAACTGCAAAAGCTCACTTCTGAAGAAACCTACATGTACATGAGAAAACACCCCCCAAAAATGATTAGTTTATAAGTGTTGTAGTTGAGTCCACAAGCTGTCCAAATAAACTTTGAAAAAGGCATTCATCTGTGTGTTCCTTCGTCATTGTTCATCCGATGTTACTTGTTACTGGACTCCTGATTTGACTTGTGATTTACTTTAGCTGGACTTAAAAGGGAATATGCAACACTCTCAAACGAAAGTAGCAAATTATCACGAAATACCTTACTGGACCGTTAGTGAAGCATCCTGCAAAATCTTGGCACCTGGTGTGCTTTCATTTTCAAGAAAAGTGGTATTTTTGTATCAATTTCCAACTCTGGTTGGCCGACGTGCATTGGAAAAACTTTTTTTTTTTTCTCAAATACTGCCCCAATTTATCATACTTAGTTCGCATTTTGTTTGCAATCCATTACTTACCTACGAACCGGTACAAGCCAGCTACACTGGTTCCCTAACCTTACAATTCCCCAATGTCTATAAATTGCTCCGTTTCATCTTAAGTGCGGTCAAGAACCAGACTACAGGAACATTATTGTTTTTCTGGATTTTTCCAGCATCTACGAACACAAAACTTCAAACATGTCAGTGTAATCATATTGGCTATAAAATACCAACCCCCAAAATCCATCCATTTCTTAAAATTACAGCAAAAGCAAATGTTTTATATTCCCTTTAAAAAGTATAAGTATCATTTTGTTAAAGGGAATGTACAACATTTGCTTTTGCTGCAACTTTTGGAAATAGATGGATTTGGAGGATTAAGTTATAGCAAATAATGTTGACATGACTTGTTTCACGTTTGGGGCTTGTAGATGCTTGGAAAAACCATGAAAACCAATCGTATTCTTGTAGTCTGGTTCCCTGACCCACTTTAGATGAAACGGAGCAATCATGACAATCAGTCTAGCAGGCTTGTACCCCTTCACAGGTGTGTAAACAATTGCAAAGAAAACGCGGAATAACTAATTATGGAAAATTAGGAGCAGTTTTTGAAAAAAAGCCAGTTTTCTCCAACGCTGGTCAGGCGATCAGCGTTGGAAAAATACCATTTTTCATGAAAATGACAGCACACCAGGAGTCACAATTTTACAAGATGTTTTACACTGTCATTCCCTATTTGATCATTTCGTTTTGTGATGTTTGCAAATGTTGTGTCTTCCCTTTAACCTGACAAATTTTGTTGATTGTCTTTTTTGTTGGTGGACAGGTTGCATGTGGTCCATTTGCGGCATTCATGACCAGGGCTGGGCAGAGAGGCCCGTCTTTGGCAAGATCCGCTACATGAACTACAACGGCTGCAAGCGCAAGTTTGACGTTGCCCAGTTCGTACGCAAGTACAAGCAAAAGTTGTGATGCGCCCTCTACAAAGAAACGCCAACAGTCCTCAGGAATATGCTTCGAACTTGTGCTTCCATCTAGCAGCTTGTACACAATTAATGGCTCTACATACTTGGTTCTTGGTTGGTTTTTCTCCTAAATACTACACGTTGGAGTTTATACAGGAGGCCAGAAACACCGGGGCAAACCCCTTCTCTTAGCGATAAGTGTTTACTGGGTTCTTTTACGTGCATTTATACAACACACGGGACCTACGGCTTAACGTCCCATCCGAAGGACGAAGCAATAATGGTTAAGTGCCTTGCTTAAGAGCACAAGTGTCCACCCGGCGGGCTCGAACCCACGTCACTGTTGCCTCTGAAACACCAGAACGTGAGTCCGGTGTTCTTAACCGCTAGGCCATCACACTCCACAATTGTATGGATATTGTTGTAGTCCAGAGCTTTCCCGAAACCTCCTATAAATGTTAGGCGTTTTGGCATTTTGAGACGGAACGGGGCACAGGCGATAGTTGAAATAATGCAAAAAAACGAATGGGTTGTTTTTCCCTCGATTTTCAGATTTATTGATATTGGTAATCTGTGATGTGTCTACTACACATTGGCATCTTTCATTTCCACAAATACAAAACCGAAACGTTTAAAGGCCTTTTTCTCAGTATTTTTACTTTATTGACATGTCGATAAATGCAAACTATAAACAGCCATAACTTGTTAAGGGAATGTCCGATTAAAGTGCAGCAAACAGTATTGCAGGGAGAATTTTATTGTCTTTACCAATACCAGCAAACCCTCATTTCAACCTCTGCCCAGTTCTGTCTCATTTTTTCCAGAACGCCTCACACTTGATGGCCGATAAAGTATTTTAGAATCCTGTTTCTATGAGAAACTGAAAATACATTTTCAGTATTGGACTCTCCTAAAGATATGGCGATATTGAAAAACAATAATTATATGTCACTGAAAAAGGGCAGGGTTTGATTTTTTTAAAAGAAATAATGGAGTAAAATCATGCTGACAAGACACAACAGACTAATTAGGCCATCAGCCTGGGGGTTTGGTCAGTATCAAATCGCGGCATAAATGATTATAGTGCGCATGCGCAAGGTATACCGCCCCTAGAGTGGTAACAAGCATTTTGATGGCCATTTTGAAAAAAAAAGGGTGATAACGCCCAAAAATCTGCCATCGTTGCAATGCTATCACATATTTTCCAATTCTGGAGGTGTATACCTTGCCAAAATCGCTATGATGATTATTCCCCTCAAAATTTTGGACCGAGGCTGATGGCCTAAATAAAGTTGTCGATAATCACCCCCCCCCCCCTTTGTGCAAAATGCTCAAAGCACAAAATGCACAGCGAATGCACAAAAGTGCATTGATCCGTGTGGCCCCAACTGAAAAATAGTCTTATTTCTGTCAATACATGTACTTGTGAAAATCCTAAAAAAGTAGGGTTATTGAGTTGCAAGAAGATTGCTCGAGGTTGGAGACGTCATTTTTGGTCGACAAAAACAGAAAATAACAGATACATTGCAGCATCCTAAACTTCACTATTGCCCCCATATTCTTAATCATGGAGCATGAAATGGGTTCAAGTTCAACATGATTCATTGAAGACTCTTTGAAAGTGGGTCATTCCGTAAATGCGGGGTCCAATTTTTGGTGTATCCCCATTAAATCTGATATAAGATTTTGTAAATTCAGGACCCCTTCTTTAACCTTGACCTCCTCAATCCTCCAAGATCCTACTGCCTGTTTTGGATGATTTTAGAGGATTGAGGATGAATGGTAAGGTTGTATCGCCTTTTTGTGGAGGATGCATTACGTCAAGCCAGTAGGCCATATCCTGCATTGGTTTATGTTCAGCCATGCTTGATCAGCCCTGTGTTTTTCTCGTGTTTCATCCGTGCCGCTTCTAAATGCTATTCGCACTGCCTCAAACCATAGCAGTAATTGGCAGAGGATTTTGGAGGATTGAGGCAGTGGTCACCCTCCGCAGACTAAATTCAAGAAATAACGGATGATTTTGGAGGATTGAGGCTGAATCCAATGTTTTCTTAGTGACAATTGGAGGATTTTGCAGGATTGAGGTTGCATCCTAGCCAGAGGGCCTAGGGGGTTAGGGTTAATGCCTTCTATGTCTAAGAATGATTATGTGAAGCAAAATACCTTTTTCAATTTTTATGAAACTTACATTGCAACTTACATAAGTCTAATGTAACAGGGACACCAAAAAGGCCCACTTTTAGACCCCAAATTTATGGAATAACTCGTTTACCATACACTTATTGTAGTATTGTTAAAATGATTAAAAATGAACAGTTTATTGGGGGTAGATCTCAGAAGTCTGGATGAGATATTGGTTTTGAAAAAAAAACAACCCACATTTCTTCCCAAAAATTGTGTGTGCTGTAAAACGTTGAGTGGACCTTTTAAAGTGAACAGGATTGAAACAAGTTCGTCTTTCATACTTTTGTCTTTGTTAAAATGTACCTTTCATCTATTTTCACTAGACGTACAGTGGATGAACAATAACAAAGGAATGCCTTTGTGGAAGCTACATCTACACGTCGTTATTTTTTTTAGAGAGTTGGAATGACCAAAGTGTAAAACTATTTTATCTACTCTTTTGTATTCACAGTAACATTTTGTTATTTAATATTAAAAACGACTGCAATACACAAAACAGAGTCACTCTCCCTTACTAAAGTTTTTATTCGATTATTAAGCAAAAATATTCCACAAATAATGGCCATGATTATTATTATTATTATTCACATCAGAACAAATCAGTTTCTTTAAAGCATTATCAATTTCTACACTACAACCAATGCATAGTTTCTACATCCCAATTCTGCCAATTATTTCACGAAAGCTACATGTAGTTGCATCTCTTGACAGTTGTCATTACACTTAACCCCTTAACAATGGGCCAAGTTCAGGCAAGGACCATTAGTCGACTAGTGGTTGATTTGTGACGTACCCAATACGCCTGCGCACTAATAGCAACGTGCGAACGTCTCTAGTGAAATGCTGGTCAAAATGTCATCGCAAAACTTCTGGACCCTGGCTCCCTGCTGTACGTTATGAATGCGCGGCTGTTGGTTACCAGCGATGCAACCAGCCCCCAGTAGGCTGGTTCCACATAGTCGACTAGCGTAGTCAACCACCGTCGACTAGACAGAGTTCGGGCTAACTTTAGTCAAACTATGGTTAACCAATGGTCAACAATAGTTCTTGCGCGAACTTGCCCTTGGCTGATAGCTCTAGACACTGCTTGATAAAAGCTGATAAACCAGGGACTGCTATAGCCGCATTCCTGCTGCATAGCCGCATCCATTAATAGCCAACGGCCGAATGCCTGCTTGTACACATTCCAACCAATGTGCCACTGTCCATGGTCGAACAATACCGGCGTCAAGGGGTTAAAGATGCAAAAACAGGGTCATTTTTTTTTTTTTTTAAGCAATGTGAAAAATATTAAAATAAGGCAACATAAATGGTGTTTTTTTTCAGTTTCAATCAATCAACGAAGAATGCCTTGTGGAAACTGAGACAATCAAAAACGATCTATTCAAATATATGTATTACGTTAAAGTAGACCAACAATATGACCCATTAATGCTATATAAAAGTAAACTTGACAGTGCTTTAGGTTTCTACATAACTAAAGTTACATGATCAATCAATCACAATCTGTACAACTACATGTGACCCATTCTAATGTACACATAAACAACTTGTTTACAGTTTCAGAGCAAGACTTATGGCTTGTACCAGGGGGAACCTTGGATTGCTTGATTTCAATACTAGAAAAGGCACAATAAAATTCAGGTTTTCAATCAATGAAACGGCGGAAAGAATGTTGCAACCTGACGCCACTTTTTTCATCATAATTCTCATCTCAGTGAAGGCAAGTCATTGCAAAAATGTTGAGGAGACATCATTTGCTGGAGATCATTTCCAATTTTGTTAGAAAATACTTTGAAAATGCACTCGACTCTCCATAGACTTTGTACTCAACTAAAGAAGTGGCGTCTGGATACTACATACTTTCCCAAGCGGAACATTTCAGGGCCATCATTAATTCTTTCAACTTTTTTTTATAATAATAAATGAACTTCAATATAATCATAAAGTGACCTTAACTTTATTTTCTTGTTAACTAAAATCACTGTACATGTAGAATGTGTTACGGAGACTAGGCAAAAGTAAAAATATATTTTCAAAAGCACATTGCTCTTGAAGCGAAACAACCGTTTTGACAGAAGAGACATTTAGGGATTACACATGAAATACTGTCTTAGGAATGTCATATTGGCCTGACGAACAGGGGTAATAATGACATATTATTCAGGCATGCAACTGGGAATTCTATAAAAAAAAAAAAAGAGAGGAAATTCAAATCTTTCCACGACTTTGAACAGTGTTTTTCTATTTTTAATGGCACACGTGGGAAGCAAAAAAGGGGGAAATCAGCAGATCCGAGGAGTTGCATGCCTGATTATCACTCATGGGGATCCATATTTGCAAAAAAATGCATGGGCTTTGTTAGGAATTTGAAGGGTTATGGCAGTAGGCAAATACAAAAGGTTTATTATTCTGCTTTTAGTTGTGGCCCTACTTTGACCCACACTACTTGCTTCTTGCAGCATGGTGTAAAAACCACGAGTAAATCGTTGAACAAGAATTGCTTTAAATGTCAAATCTAAGTAAGGTGAATAGAAAAAAAAATTATATTTACAAAATAAAGTGGTGAATATATTTTTTTTGTTGTAAATTTAATAAATTTAGTTGTTTAATAATCTATCAAATCTTTTTGCCATTTATCTTTTATATTTTAATATTTTTACAAACTCAAAGTCTGGCCTAGCAGATATTGCCAGATTTTTTTTTGTCATTAGATAGAATTCTAAAAAGGTAGCACAGAATCCATGATGGACTATCCTGAAATAGAGAAGCACAATTAAGATGGGTACCTGTATATCCTTTCTTTCTTATCCTTAGAACGATGTAAAACTGGCGTCTGTACTTCCAGAAGTAGACCAATTACACAAATAAATCAGGTTTACATGTAAACAATTCAATTAATTCATTACAATAGAACACAACTGTACCAAATATTTATTGACGAACATCCCAGGTTTGAGATTGGGGGATAATGAAAAATCCAAGATATATTCGGGGGAGAGTTTTGTTATTGCGATCATATGGCATCACCATCATAAAGAATCGCAATCATATTGGAGCATAAAAACTAACAATGCAAGAACGCTCACCCAAACGCCACACTTGTACAAGTCTTGTGCTTAGTTTAGTACAAAATGCCAAAAAAAGTTGTAAAACCTGTATACATGGTAAATCCTCAGGAAATCCGAATTTCAAAAGGGTTTTGTTTTAGAAAAATCTTAAAATCAGGACAAAATCAAGAGAAATCTCACCCCTGACGCTTACTCCTGAATTGTATGTACAATACTACAAAGCATTCCCGATGGGGGAAAAGACGACAACAATTAATATGGCTGGAGTGTTTTGTGGATGTATGAGAAAATGGTTGTGATTTTGAGGTGAGCAGTTAATTAATCAGGGTTTGGGGAAAAAGGACAATTTTCAAGTAAATAATCGGACTGCAAATTTAGTTCCGACAATAGTCTCAGTTTTAAGTTGGTCACACACACATCAAAACTGTTAACCTTCAGTTGAGTTACAAATTACGGCCATGATAAACTAGTCAATGCGATCTTCAAAGCACACCATATTCATAACCTTAAATTAAAGAACTCAGTTCGCAGTATTGTACATGGACTTATGGTAATACATACATGTACATGTACATGTATGTTTTTTTAAATTTTGATAATACACAGTCACCAAATGCAGCTTTGTCAATGAGCCAAAATTTCTGAAACTTGAAGATCAGAGTTTGGCATCAAGAAATTGAGGAAATGACAAAATTGTTTTGTTGTTAATTCATTGTTTTATGCCCTAAACCATGTGCCGGGACTATCTCAAACTCAAATGTCCAACAATGTTTTTGGTTTAGTAGCAAAAAACAAATATCACTGATGTACAGTTCAGAAGAAGGTTATAAATTGTACTAAACACGCTGGTAAAATATTTAGCTCTTTACTGTACCGCCAAAAACTGCCCTGCAAATTACTCCCTGTAGCACTCAAAACATCACGATCACTCTATGGTTTTATGGATTCATTAGTGAAAAAAAGTAATACAATGTAGTGTTGGTGCTAATTGGTTAACCTTTCCTTCCAACAACAGGTAATTATTATTAATATATGCTAATATTGGGAGGAGCCTCGTGTATGTGATGTGATGCAAGACTCTGAATATTCATTTTATTAAAGCATCTACTGAGCTTTAACCAACCAATGACAGTATTTGCACATATTCACTGTCCCACCTTCTAAGGCAGGGTACACATGCAGTGTACATTGTCACAAAATACCCAAACCACTGGCATATGTACAGGTGGTGTGAGATTCTTCTCTCTCGTACGTTAACTCAAGATTACTCTACAGACAAAAGATGAATTTGCCAATTAAGCCAGTTCAGTATTCAAACTAAGAATCAAGCCCGTGGGAATGGGGGTGCTGGAATATGCTTCAGCACCCCCTACATTGTACTCCCGGGCAAAAATGTGTTCCAGCCAGCAGTGTTCTACGACGATGAAATTGCGCCGCTACGCTATACATTATGCTTGCTCTACAAATATCTCCTTCGTTTTGTTCGTTTCTAGTTTTGCCGCAGCTAAGCACGGCGCTTCGAAAGTCTAGCACACTGTAAAATATCAAGAGGAGGTATTTTCTAAACCTTCAGGTAGTGCAGAATCGATATTTCTCTCAAGGTATCTAAAATCATGACATGTCTATGAAATTCCGCCATGATGGAAGCTTTGACCCAAAAACAATAACCTCGGCCATGACAATGGTGGCAAAGTTGTTTATGCTTGCCAGGATTTTTTTCATTCGATCTTTCAATAGGGACAAATGTTCATACCTTTCCCCTGAAGCTTTTTCTTTTCATTAAAAAGTTTCATTGACGTTGCTAGCATTCTGTGCTCAACATTAACAAATAGCAAGGTTCACACACATCACCAACCTAATAGGAGTGGGACGGGCTTTCATTGAAGTTAGTCATGCTTTACGCCAATTTCAAACAACACTGCAAATATATCGAGAGCTACATCGTTTGGTGCGTTAGAACTATCTGAATATTTTTATGAACAGAAATTCATCCGCTTCCAGTGAAACGATTTGTTTTAACTTGAACCAAAAAAACATCCTTTTGGGTTTTATAAGTTTCAGTATACTTCAGTATATTTCATCACAGTGCATCCAGAACTCCAACATTTTCCGGGGCCTTAAAGCGGGCCCCTGGCCCTGTGGCCCCACGCCGTTAGAGCTCAGAAAATAAAACAAAACATACATGAAGGAATTTACTAAATGTAAGAAAGCTGTCTTGCAACAGTAATATTTACATGCGATGTCATGCATAAATCCGCCATATGCAATATGGCGGATTGTTTATCCAAAAACGAAAGTGATGTTGTACTGAACTGGCATACTCCTGGGGCAAGTTCTGTAAAACTACTAATTTTCACCTATAATCTAAAGTAAATATACAGTTTTTATAACATTCTCACCTTAAGCTTGACATATTTTTTTTTCTCGAACAGTTTGTCTCAGCTTAAGTATAACTGTCACTTCTCACTAAAAATATATATATCATGAGAGGAAAAAAACTTAGCATACCGTGAAGTACAATATAGGCCACGGATATCCCAATATTCAGATATGATCTCACAAAAGATCACAATAATCTAATTAATATGCCTATAAAAACATACAAGGACCAGAGTTGAAGTCGAGTCATTTTCTGAGTCCAACAAGTGCACTGAAAAAAACTATTGTGGTAGTGTAGAAATGAAGCCTGAAAAAAAGACAAGCCTGAAGGCTTTTGATGTGTAGAAATCTGAGTGTCTGGACGAAAAAAAGGTATGCTGAAAATGCCCAAATACTTGCAGAATGTTTATTAAAAAATGGATCAACGTTTGAAGCAAGAAAATTGCTCCAAATCTTCAGTGGGGTGTAGTTGATGTAGAAAGCCATGGTCCAGTGGTTACGGTGTTTGACTCATGCACGATGGTGCTTGGGTTCGAATCCTGCCAGGAACATGGTGTTTGTGCCCTTGGGTACAAATGTAAGACACTAAACTACAATTGCCTCTATCTACCCAGGAGTATAAATGGTAGCCGTGAGGGTCGAGGACTGATTGAGCGCTGATATCGGCTGCCGCGTGGTCTCAGGGCCTGATGAACGGGGTAATAATTGTAAAGCGCTTTGAGATTGTTGATACGATGGAAAGGACTATTTAAGCACTACGATTATTATTATTACAAAAATTATCCAGTTAAAGTTGGGTTGACACTATACATTCTGAGAAAACAGTGGAAACATCTGCACAATTTCTGGGATCTTGTATCTGGATTCAGCTGCTAACGCACGTAAAAAGTGTGCCCCAAGCACCCTTTTTTGAAACCACCTTCAATGTTAGTTTTCTTCCAAATGATACCATTTCAGGTGGAATAATTTCACAAAGTATTTGATATCAGTCCTATCTTCACTTCGAGCAAGCTTTCTGTTACTAAATCGATAGGTACTTTGCCGGGTTATTACAAATAGTCCTGCGTAGCTTTAAAAAGAAGTGGACAATTCTTCCATGACTGTGGCAAGCAGTGCATCCAAACCCTCACAGTTCCACTCATTCAAAATACTCAGTGAGCACAGCCTGGGTCGTTAGGGTTTGCTTCCTACACTACCACATTATATTTCAGTAAACTTGAGGAATCGTCAAAAAAAAAACTCGACTGCAACAGTGACCAAGATGGACTTTCATATATGAGGCTTTTCAGCTTGCTAGAGCATGAGATATTTTCCAAACACAACTGACTAGCAATCCAACAAGTTTACTCGGCTCCAAAACAAAAAGTCTGAAAACAAACAAAAAAGGTTGGAGGTTGGCTTGGAGTACATGTACAAGAGATGTTGCCACTATTCACAGAGTTTCTCCGTTAAGAGTCTGAGGAACTGCTTTCTCATTGTTGCTGATGGGTCTGGATCAACTCAAATATTAGCCCTGGTGGGAGAATGAGAAAAGGAATAATATTACTAATAAAATAATAAAGAACATTTGTAAAGTGCCGGTATCCGCCTAAAAAGGCGCTCATGGCACTTGAGGAGGAAGTCAAGTTAGGATTATGTGTTGTGAGAGTAAGCTTGTGTGTACATGTGAGATTTTATGTTTGGTTCCACACTCGGGCTGACGCTGCAGTGAAGGATCTGCCACCCCAAAGAGTGGAGGTCCTGGGCTCATGAAGCATCATGAGCTCACTGGAGCGGAGTCCAGTGCGTGCTGTTGAGTACGGGTAGATGAGGTCGATGAGATACTCTGGGGCATTGTTGTGGAGGATTTTGTACACGAATAGGCCAAGTTTGTATTTGATTCTGTATGATACTGGAAGCCAGTGGAGATCTGCTAATACAGGAGTGATGTGATAATGTTTACTAGTGAGAGGGATTAGTCTCACAAAAAGAATAATCGAGATCCGGATTGTTGCCATGTCCATCTGCGCAGAAAGCTCCATAGCAAACTAGAAATGTTATGAATATATTATATGAGACATCTGGTAAAGGGCAGAACTGAATATTAAACTAATGAATTATGTGACAAAAACCTTGTGAATATGTAAAATCTTGTTACTACTTTGTATGAGGCATCTGGTAAAGGGCAGAACTGAATATTAAAACTAATGAATTATGTAACAAAAACCTTGTGAATATGTGAAACTCATATCAATATATTGTATGAGGCATCTGGTAAAGGGCAGAACTGAATAGTGAAACTAATGAATATGTAACGAAAACCTTGTGAATATGTAAACAAGTAGCCTTGTGAATATTGAGTACGATTTATTGGGTTGAGGGCAAAATCGAAGATTAAAGGGCCCATGCAATGTAATTTTTTTTACACGTAATTCAATTCTTGAAAAGGCGTCTTTTACATTGGGTTGGCACACCTCCAGAAACAAAGTCAGAAATATGTGTGCAGTTTCCCATATGGTGTTGGAATTTGCCAGGATGGGTGTGGTTCCTAGTCAATCATGCTAGGGAGTTAGGGTTAAAGAACTGCATTTCTTAATAAATTTAACCCCAAAAAAGGGATGTCAAATAGTTTTCATACATGTAAGAGGAGTAAAGTTGCACAAAATATGTTCCTCAGTAAAAATTTATCTTATTTTTGGACCCTTTAAAACTCATGAATATGCAACAGAAACCTTACCTTTATATTATATTATGCAGGCTTCCTAATGAATATGTAAACAGAAAGCCTCATGAATAATTAACAATCTAGACACTGACCTTTCCACTGTTGCACTGTGAACTCTTGCGGCTCGAAGGAATCGTCGAAGACCTGGCCCGTGGGTTCGTCACTCTCGTCGTGGTACTTGGCAACGTAAGGGTGTCGCAGCGCTTCCTCTGCCGTGATGCGTTCATCCACATCCAACTTAAGCATCTTCTCGAGCAGATCAACGGCGGATCTGTTGGCCCCAATGAAGAACGTGTCGAAATCCTTCTTGGGTTTGTAGGGCTGCGATCGGACGAAATTCTTGGCCTAGAGTTGCGGGCAATTTCACAAACCATACTTAGCATTTACATGTACATGTTTAATATCCAACTTACAATCACCAATTGTATGTTGTGTTCTGTTAAAAACCAAAAGTTTCTGTGCAGAACTTGAAATGAACATATTACCAAAGATGATATGAGGGTGATTTCTTTCAATTTTTTTTTCTTTTTTTTTTCCAAATTTGTGATCCTAGAGATGTCAACAAAAATATATACAATGTAAAATGTTCAAACTTTAATTGACAAATTCCAATGTGTAAAGTTAAAGCGTTTTTCAAGAAAATTTGTTGATAGAACTTTTCCCTGGATGAACGCTGTGAGCTTCAATGTACGTGTACATCCCATTAAAGCCCGAGTCCATCATTTGCAGCTATCCAAAAAAGTAACCGGCGTAATTATTGTTGAAAAACATACTGGTTGAAAGATAGTGAGGGAACTAAACTCCCTGTGAAATTATCCTTTCTGGCAAGCTCTCATTTTGAAGAAATCAACGAAAGAAGGCATTTCCAACGGTGCTTCTTAAGAAGCACCGTAGGAAAATTTAAATTAGTAGTTCGTTTTGTTATTCAGCGCAGCGCGCACAAGTATTGGAACGACGCACATGCGCGCGTGGTTGTTATAATTCGTCGGATCAGTGCGCTACGTCGCTTAAAGCTGCAATTCAAAACAATTCGAAACATGATTTAGGAACTTTTGATTTTAAATTGAGATCCTAGAATGCTGTTTTTCTCGGAATATGAAGCTGAAGCTGAGCTGAAACTTCATCAAGTAAGTTGTTCAGTATCCTTCATTTGATTTTGAACACTTTTGTTGCTTCAAACGAACAAAATGCACTAATTACAAATGATGGACTATATCTTTAAAAGCCAAAGATTGTTAACAAACGGCAACTTACATCTTCGCTCATGATTTTCGCTATGAGTTCATCGTCCGGTGTACCAGTTAAGTTCATGATGCGATTCAGTTGATCAATATCTGTGAACAGTCGTTAAGCCATAACATATTTCCAAACAAAATTGAAGTTTTTGTGTGTGAAATGACTGCATTAGTTCTTTTTTTTGTAATAGCGTTTACAGAAGCTAAACTTGCTCTGCCTCATTTTTGTGTGTGCAAATTTCAATGAGTTGTTAAGTACAAAAAATATTTGCTTAGAAAAAAAAAACAGTTACCAGCCCAAATGCAATGCGATGCATATTGCATATGGTTGGTCCGCAGCATATAAACTTGCTTAAGCAATACTGTATGTTTAGCAGCTTCATGAAATCAAGCCCGGGTCAGTGACTTTCGGGTAAATCATGAATGAAAGCAATAAGCCTCTGTACTGATGACGTCACACATTGTTTACACGTGTGCTTGTCTATGGGAACCTGGTGTGGAACGACGATTTCGTAGCCCAATAGAAAAGTACACACGTAAACAAACTGTGACATCATCAGTCACAGTTTGTACATTTCTTTTTTTTGTTTGTGTTCATCAGTACATTTCTTTATGCTAGGAGGCGCTATTTGCATATGAACATGTAATCTATGTACGGATAACAGCTTTTAGGCCATTTCTAACACAGTAACACCAGCAATTAAGTACAATACTGGCTCAGCATCATCTTTTTTTAAACACATCAGTGACCAGGGACTCTGAGTCAGTTTGGCCTTGAGACTTTTGACCCGATTGATTGCTACAATGGGCAGGCTTGTCAGTTTGACAAGTGTTGCCTGTTACTGCTTTTGGCAGAGTTTCTGGCCAAAATATACCCTGGAGGGTAAGGGTAGTGGCACTTGTTTGTATTTTTTATTATTTTTTCCTTTTTTTTTTAAGCATGGCTGGCAACTTTTTAAGCTTGGCGGCAGCTTTTGAAGTTTGACAGGTGCCTGTGAAAGCTTGGCAGGTGCCTCTGAAAGCTTGGCAGTTGCCTCTGAAAGCTTGGCAGGTGCCTCTGAAAGCTTGGCTGGTGCCTCTGAAAGCTTGGCAGGTGCCTCTGAAAGCTTGGCAGGTGCCTCTGAAAGCTTGGCAGGTACCTCTGAAAGCTTGGCAGGTACCTCTGAAAACTTGGCAGGTACCTCTGAAAGCTTGGCAGGTACCTCTGAAAGCTTGGCAGTTGCCTCTGAAAGCTTGGCAGGTGCCTCTAAAAGCTTGGCAGGTACCTCTGAAAGCTTGGCAGTTGCCTCTGAAAGCTTGGCAGGTGCCTCTAAAAGCTTGGCAGGTACCTCTGAAAGCTTGGCAGTTGCCTCTGAAAGCTTGGCTGGTGCCTCTGAAAGCTTGGCTGGTGCCTCTAAAAGCTTGGCAGGTGCCTCTGAAAGCTTGGCAGGTGCCTCTGAAAGCTTGGCAGGTACCTCTGAAAGCTTGGCAGGTGCCTCTGAAAGCTTGGCAGGTACCTCTGAAAGCTTGGCAGGTACCTCTGAAAGTTTGGCAGGTGCCTCTGAAAGCTTGGCAGGTGCCTCTGAAAGCTTGGCAGGTACCTCTGAAAGCTTGGCAGGTGCCTTTGAAAGCTTGGCAGGGCACCAGGTTATTTTTTACAGGTTGGAGCACACTGAGCCTTGTATATGACATATAAAGACACCAATCACAAGCAAGCAAAGGATACGATCAGTTCCAGGAAAGAGTGTAGTCCCAGTCAGTAGTTCTGCCATGATGCAGCCCACGGACCAGATGTCCACTGTGTTGGTATAGTGCATCCAGTTCAGCATGATCTCTGGTGCGCGGTACCATCGCGTGGCTACGTATCCTGTCATCTCGTCGTCAGCTTGACGCGCCAGTCCAAAGTCAAGAATCTGGACAATACCATACAACAGAAAAACAAGGCACAGTTGGATTCTGTTGGATCGAGCATGCCAGTCACTTGATAGTTTCAGGTACCCAACAACTTGGGTTGTGTGGGACTGTGTGGGATTGAGCAGGACACTTGTATGTCAGACTCTGTTGGGTTTAGCAGGGTAGTCCTGGGGAACTACTTAAAGGAAAATTCAACATTTGCAAACATCGAAAAATAAAACTTCCAAGTTTTTACGAAATACCTTACTAGGATGTTGGTAAATGACAGTCTGAAGCATCCTGTAAAATTATGGCACCTGGTGTGAAGTCATTTTCAAGAAGATGGTACTTTTGTATTTATTTCTAACGCCGGTTGGCCGACCCGACCACCGTTGGAAAAACCTAACTATTTTTCAACTACTGCTCCAAATTTACAATTTTTTTCAGTCAAAATGTTGTTTGGTAACATGTTCATGAACGGGTGCAGGCCAGCTAGACTGGTTCCCTTACCTTACAATTTTTCCGGCATCTATAAATTGATCCATTTTATCTTCACTGGGGTCAGGGAACCAGACTACTTGAGAATTTTTGTTTTTCTTGGTTTTTCCAGCATTTTCGAACACAAAACTTCAAACATGTCAGTGTAACAATATTTGATCTATTATACTAACCCCTCAAATAGTCCATTTCAGAAAATTACAGCAAAAGCCAATGATCAGATGATGTACATTCCCTTTAAGCAATTGAGTAGAAAAGCAAACACGAACATTATTTTGAGTCATTATACTTTATAGACAGCAAACAGGAAAAGTCATAACTTACCCTGAGTTCACAGTCTTCATTGACTGCCAAATTGCTGGGCTTCAAATCTCGATGGATCACGCCCACTGAGTGGATATACTACAAAACAAAACGAAACCAATCAGTCAAATAACAAAGTAGACATAACAAACACTGTGTTTCTTTGCTACATAAACTATTTTTTTGAACACCTGGTTTTTTTTAAAACAAAGTTGCTCACTGCTCATGATCTGCATTAGTGGTGGGATTAATACCTGGTTTAGTGGTGGGATTAATACCTGGATTTTTTAAAATTTGTTTTGAATTCCACTATTTGGTTCTGATTTTGAAAATTGGATATTTGAGACTAACCTTAAAAAAATAAGCCTTCTTATTTTTGTGACACAGGCTAAAGAAAACAATTGGAACATCTCCCAATTTGCTCCATGGTCTCTGATTGTAACTGCATTCACTTGCTAGTGGTCTTCTTGGTTCACGAATAGCCGGCCCATTCAACTGGTCAGAGGGTTCCCACCAATTTTTGTCACCATAATAATAATAATAATAATAATAATAATAATCGGCATTTAAGAACGCTCTTATTAGTAAACTAAAGCACAGCGCTTACAGTATTATTATTACCCCTGATCATTGGGCCAATTAAACATTCCAAATACCATCTCAGCTCCCTGGGGAGTATACAGCTGGATGCTGCCTGTTAGGCGCAAGCAAGCTTATTCAATCACAATAACCATCTCTGCCCTCACAGGTACCCATTTACTCCTGGGTGGAGAGAAGCAATGAGTGACAAAGTGCCTTGCCCAAGGGCACACGCACCATGACCCCGGCTGGACTCGAACCCACAACCCGCAGCTTTACCCACAGACCACGAATCCAGTGCCCTTAACCACGAAGTCACAGGACTCCACCATTATACAGCTCTGAAGTGCTTTGTATGTGGCATCTCACTCGTCACTATTTTTGGCATGAGTGTGAGCTGAATGGAAACTTCTGGTGAAATTGGATAACCGCTATTCGGTTTGAAAAAAATAATTAGGATAACCAGAGTTAAAAATCTCTGATTTCTCCCGCCACTAATTTGCATGTACCTACCTTGAGTCCCCGCAGGATCTGATAGACAAGAAACTGGACGTGTTCATCGGTGAGTCGCTGCGACTTAGTAATACCGTTGAGATCGGCTCCCATGAGATGCGTTACCATGTACACATCACGAAATGTCTCCATCGTGTCCCCACGGCCAAAGACATCCAGTAAGCTGATAATCTGTGGGCGTATGAGAGTCGAAGCTTTACATGTTGTACTCTAGGGACTTCATAGGATTACATGTAAGTGTAATTTTACTGTTACAGTGTTCGTTATAGTTTTAGTGATGACATGTCACTCATTTTTTTTTCTCAGCCTAGAAATAAATCTTGCATCATAATACATTTTTGCCGTAAAGTTGTATCGCCGGAGTGTTAAACTTGGTACATGGCAGTGGCGAGGGGGAGGGGGAGGGGAGGGGGGGAGGACAGGGGGAACTTTGCCTCCCTCCCTGGGGATTTTTTTGAAAGAAATTTTGTTGGTAACTACATGTATTTCCATAAATGATTAGAGAGGTCTGTCACATGTCATGAACCAAAAAAAGAAAACCAAGCTCCAAAACCATTACAATGCACCGTGAAAATCGGCATTTTCCAACATGTAATAATGGTAAGTTTCGAAGAGTGCCCCCATTGTGAAGATGGGTACCAGCCCCTTCCCCCACTTTTTTAATTAACAGAGGCCAACTGTCTGGAGAAAAAAAACATGTCTACATTTCGGCGCGGATGTGCGAGTGCGATTGCCACCCCGTGACATCAAAAGCTATATATACGCCACTGGTACATGGCACACATACATGTACAGTACCTGTACAGTGTGAAATGTACGTTTCTTTTCGATAACTTTGCTTCAAACACACATCCTCTGCTCATTATGAGACCTGATTTACATTGATGAATGGTTACATGCTTGGTATGCATTATACATACAGCTAACCAGTCCGATGTCGACAGCTTTGGCTCATAATTCAAATGCTGATAATGCAAAAATATAGCAGCTGTTCAGATGTAAACAAATATCATTTTTTGACATTCTCTCCATGAGTCTAAGACAATGCAGGAACTTCTTGTCCCACCTGGACCTTTAAAATACGGTTACTCAACAATCAAAAGCACTCAATTTTGGTGATCTCCGAATGAATGTGTACCTTTAATCAGATCGCTTTCAGTTCTAACCAACGTCATGTGCCACTCATCCATCACACAGTGTTTACACTAAACTCAAAACGTGTAAATGCCATTTCACCCCAGCATGCATATAAGCTACATGTATGCAAACACACCAGCTACGTGAGAATAATTTATATAATGAGCAGTTGTTGTGAACATCTGTGAACGCAGAAATATTTCAACATGTTCAATGCCAACTTCTGACGTGAATTGTACTGATGGCATTCACTGTGCTTAGCTTTGAACTGTATTAGTTCCTTGTGATTTTCATAAGTACATGTACATGTATGCACGAACACATAATCCATTAGAGGTGTATTTAAAAAGTAAGTAAAAAAAAAACCTCATCAGGCCATGTAAACAAATGAACCAGTCCCCGCCCGCTTCCTTTTTTCCTGGCTGTTTCCTTTTTCTTGATCTATTATTATTTTTTTAATTCATACATGGTTTGTAATATATTTTGTACATGAACATTTATGTACATTGTCAACATATTGTATTTTTTTTTGTTTCCAACACAAGTGTAGGGTAGCTACTGGTATGCAGAAAGGGTAATGGCTCCTTTGATCACAATTTTATATTTCAGAAAAATAGCTGAAAAGAAAAAATTGAAGAAGAAGACATCCGCCAACTTGCAAAATCCACCATCTTGGAAAACAAAGGAAAAAAACAAACGCCCACCTTTTTCAGTTTTTCAAAAAGGCCAGACGAGACAGTACTTATATTTTGTACTCGGCCTAAAGGATATTGCATGATTAGTACTGTTTATGCTAAATACATTAATTACTTAACTACATGTATGTTGCACATACGTACACCAGGGGTTTTGTACTATGTACACGCAGTGGTACAAGGTACGGCCGCGCGTCGCGGCAAAATTGCAGTCAGGCAAGATGGTGTCGGTCGGTCACCCCCAACTGTGCTTTCTTTGCCAGTGAGGGGGTACTTGTGAACGGAGCGGATATTCAATGTGTACTCACATTCTCATGGTCCATATGTTGGAGTAGTCTCAGCTCACGGTACGTCCTCTTGGCATGGATTGCAGACTGAAATGGCCGGGAGAGCTTCTTGATTGCAACACTGTTGCCTTTTTTTGTGTCAAGGGACGAGCTGTGGGGAACAAGAAGTGAAGTGTGAATTATGGAGATTTAAATCTCAGTATTAAGTTTTGCCCTGCAGACCTGCACCAGAGGTGCACGTTAATCTCTCTGGCACACAAAAAATATTAACCCTAACCGCCCTGAATCCTTCAAAATCCTCTTTGTCAAAGTGGAGGAATTTGAAGGATTGAGGTTACATGGCAAAAGTGCGTTACTGATTTCGTAGGATGCACTTTGTCAAGGTCTTGGGCCGGACCTTGTGTTGCTTTTGCTCAGCCATGCATATGCTTGACTAAATCTTCCTGGATTTTGCAGGATTCAGGCAGTGGTCGCCCCTCCACGGACCATATTCAAGAAATAACATGAATAATGGAGGAATTTGAAAATGAACTTGATACATGTATTTTCCTTTCCATATTGTGGATATTTAAGTGGAATGGGACGAAAATTTTGTCAAATTCACTCATTAATTTAATGGATCCCTTGTGCTTCCTGCCTTGATTCTTTGCAATGATTTTCCACACAATTCTTGTTTCATGTTTATTTTTTTTCACCACATGTTACATAACAGCAGGAAGGTAAATAGGAATTAACATGATAAAGGATTAAAAGGAGTTAGGTTTAGGGGAAGTTAGGGGAGTCAGGTTGGCGTAGCGGTACTTTCCTCGCCTTCCACTGTGACCCGGGTTCGAATCCCGCCTGGGACAAAATGTCTATTGGGTTCAGTCCCTGCCTGATTCCGTGGGTTTTCCCCAGAATATTCTTCTGGGCTTTTCCTCCCACCTCTAAAACTGTCATTTCTTCTCATAGTCTTCTCTCCACTGGTTTCTTCAGGCTTGCGAGCTACATGTACATATGTACAGTGCTTAGGGTGCTTTTGAGGAATCTTTGGTTTCACTACTAGTGATTAATAATATTAATAATAATAATAATAAAGGGGTTTTGGGGTGATGTTTGATCACAGAAAAGATGCAGCTTTTTTTGTTGCAGGCCCTTGTTCCATTGTGCTCTGATATCATTGGGCAGTCAAGTGCACACTTGGCAAAATTTAGACTAGCACTTCAAACGTCCTACACACTGCAAGTACCAGTACACGATGTATACATTATCATAATTCATATCTTTCATGTGAATACACTTCCATGTAGCATTAAAGGGAATCAGTTTGTAGGGAAGCGTCCAAAGTCTATGCAGACAATCACAATCTCATTGGCTGACGACTAGCCCCATAAATGTGGCCGAAATACTGGACTTCCTCCATATTTTTAGCCTTGACCAAGGCTATCAGTTGTTCCCATATGAGCTTGTTCCCGCTACCGCACACCGCGCGCGCAGCAACACAATGTTGTACTATATATAGTTAGCCCCAACGACCCTTGCGTGTGCTTTGTGTGCATGTACGTACGCCCCACACTCACTTCCGCAAACAGCCGTACAGTAAATCGAGGCAGAAGATAGCCTTGACGCAACCGTGTATGCTGAATATGATAATTAGTACGCGCTATGGTAAATAGTCTTCTCTCATTGGATAACGGCTGACAAAAAAATGAATATTTATTAAATTGCATAATGCGACCAAAGGTTTATAAACCAGACGGCCTGTGGTAACAATAATTATTGTAAAACACCCCCTTAAAATCTAAAAATGCTACTTTCATTTCCCACACTTTTGGGAGGCATGAATGCCTCCCGTTTATGAATTATGAATATTAATGAGGTCGGTAACGGAAGGACGGTAAAACGGACAAGGGTTTTCCAACTTACTCGCGTTTTGCGTAAACTCTGTGAATTTTATGGGGCAATTATATTTTAAAGGTAGGAAATGGAATCCCTGGAGCTTTATCTATACTATACCGCCTTTCATTTGACTACATGTACACTGGAAACTACATGTACACTGGAATTGGCGTAAAGCATGACTACATTTAGTTTCAATGAAAGCCGGTCCCATTCCTATTAGGCTGGGGATGTGTGTTATTAATTGCTATTTGTTAATGTTGAGTACAGAATGCTAGCAATGTCAATGAAACTTTTAAATGAAAAAAAAACCTTCAGGGAAAAGGTACAAACATCTGCCCCTACTGAAAGATCGAATGAAAAATTCCTGGCAAGCATAAACAACTTTGCCACCATTGTCATGGCCAAGGTTATTGCTTCTGGGTCAAAGCATATCCATCAAGGGGGAACTCCATTGGCACTACAATATTGCGCAAGTTCATAATATCATAGACATGTCATGATTTTAGATAGTTTGAGAGAAATTCGATTCTGCACTGCCCGAAGATTTAGAAAAAAAACCTCCTCTGGATATTTTACAGTGTTTGTGCTAGACGTTCGAAGCGCCGCGCTTAGCCGCGGCAACGCTAAAAACGAACAAAAAGGAGTGAGATTAGAGCAAGCAAAATGTATAGCGTAACAGCGTAATTTCATCGTAGTAGAACACTGCTGGCTCGAACACATTTTTGCCCGGCAGTAGGGGGTGCTGAAGCATATATATTTCAGCACCCCAATCCAAAAAGTACAGTTGTATGGGGTGCTGCAGCACCCCCACAGCACCCCCGTTCCTGCGAGCTTGCTAATTTTTAAAGTTATTGTCCAGTAAAAATGGCATAGGCTAATTTCAGAAAAATGACTGTAAAGTGAGTTTTTAATGTACTTTTTTATACAAAAATGAACAACGGTGGGATTTTGACGCGCTATCTTTAAAAATCAGGAATTTTCCGTCGGTGTTTTACTCTCAAAATTGCCTGTTCATCCTTCATAGCCCCACTTGTGTGGCCTCTGCATTGCTGCGCTGTACGTTAGGCCACACGTCTGGTTTCCCAATCTACTGAGGAGTTTAGTCCGAAACTTGCAGATGAGGACTCCAGAAAATTTCTCTAAAAATTTGAAGAAAGATTACCTTATCTACCCGAAGGGCAAAAGATAAGGCATCATAGAATACAATCGTATGCAGTGGTATGTAAAAAAAAAGCCAAAAAAAGGTGCGCTAGGCTTTGGACTAAACTCCTCAGTAGGTTGGAAAACCAGGCGTGTGGCCGAACGTACAGCGCAGCAATACTGAGGCTACACAAGTGGGGTTACATCCTTCATAGATTGTACAAAGGTACTTTAAAACCTTCAAATTGCTATAATTTGGAATATGTAGGCCCTTGTCACAAAAGACGTAATTAATTACTTTTCACAAAAATCTACTAGGCCTATTTTGTCAATATTTGGCTTTTTATAATTGAAATTATATAGGCCTATATAGGCTTAAAGTTATACATTTTTGAAAAGCACTCAAAGATCTATCCAACTGTAGCTAGCTGTTTCAAGACCCAAGTTTTACCATTGATGAAAATTGGTTGTCGGGCCTACTACTAATCGTCCGACCATGTCCGAATGTTAAAAAAGGAGATTCGTAGAGTACTCGGACTACTGTCTGATCATGTTGTCTATCCTAAAACTAGGCGCCCTACGCCTTTTAAAAAAAATAACAAAATAAAAGAACTAGGCCTAGGCCTAGTACTAGGGCCTAGTATTCACCGACAGTCACTGTGATTGGCACTATATTCAGAAATGCGATTCATAGCTCCATGATATGAGCGTACGTACCGGTACGAAAAACACGCACATGTGACAGCCGATGTGCTGTGTTTAGCGCGATGAGCGCAACATACACGTTGAACGCTGCTCTTTGGACCACACTATTGGTCAAGGGGTGTGTTTTCGTATAACAATTTGTCAGCATTTCTTCCACGCACTTTCAAGGAGTCCAAAACATGTCCGTTTCCGTAGAAAATTTCCGTAGAAAATCTTATCTTATTGATAAACTGAAAATTTATACTTGATACAAATCATTAAAAAGCATCCTTGCAAAAGTTTACAAACTAAGTCTATACAATTCCGTTTCAAAAATAAAATGCGCGAAAACAATTATGCAGACGAAAATGGTTATCAAGTGAAAAACAGACAAACTTAAAAGGCTTGTTAAAGCAAGAGTATATATTAAACCAATGAAAAAAATCCTTATTTAACTTAAAACATTTTGCTCAAATAACTCGGGGAAAGAGGGGCCAGATATCACCTCAGATTGCACCACAGAGCATCTAATTATCAAAAAAAAATCCCAGGGCCCTTAAGCGGGCCCCGGACCCCACGCCGAAAGACATTCGCGCTCCGCATCATTAGTCCTCGGGGCAGATCTCCCGACGCATCCTTAAAAAAGTTTACAAACTAAGCCTATCCAAATTCCTTTTCAAAAATAAAATGCAAGAAATTGATTATGCAGTCGAAAATACTTGGTTATCAAGTGAAGAACAGAAGAAACTTAACTGGGCTTGTATTACAATTTCAAACCAATGAACAAAAAATTAAAAAAAAAACACATGGTGTTACCGCAAACCGAAGCGATGACGGCGATAATGAAAAAAAAATCCTAATAATCTTCACAACATTTTGCTGAAATGGGGCCAGGAATCGCCTCAGTTTGCACCACAGATCATCTATAGAATCAAAAATTTCCCGGGGCCCTTCAGTGGGCCCCGAACCACACGCCGTAAGACACTGCTCCGTGTTCGCATTAGTCCTTGGAGCAAATGCCCCAGCGCATCGCCCGTTGCAACAGTTTACACTCTAAGTCAATACAAGTCCTTTTTTTTCTACATACAATGCAAGAAATTATGAAAAAAAAATACATGGTAGCTTAAAATTTGTAAAAATAAGAGTATATATTTTGTTAAAATCCTTACAAAATTATCAACTTTTGCACAAATAATTCAGGGGGAAAGGGGCCAGGAATCGCCTCAGATTGCACCACAGAGCATCTAGAACCCAAAATTTCCCGGGGCCCTTAAGCGGGCCCCAGGGCAGACCCCACGCCGTAAGGGCTTCACGCTCGCTACATTAGTCCTCGGCGCAAATGCTCTAAAGGTGTGCCCCCCATCTAAAGAAATCCTGGATCCGCGCCTGATATTAAGCAGCCACTCCCCTACTAGACTGTGGCTCGTAGATGGTAGGTACTGGGTTATCACGGTACCGTTATCACCAGATGCCCCCCCCCCCTCCCCCCGCCGCAGCCTAGCCGGCCCCGGCAGGCTTCTCGGACAAATCCGGTCGTAGTGCAATAGTGTCGGAAATAAACGGCTCCATGCATACTCACCACACTGATCCATAGGCCCCCGCGCCTACAGCCGACAATTTCTGATAGCGGATGGGTACTTCCCATGACGTTTTATTCAGTTCAAATCGATGATATCCGTCTGGCAGCAATTCTCCCATTAATGGAACATCCATGTTTGTGGCAACTGAAGAACAAAGCTGATCCTGCAACAAATAGTGAAATAGAACTTTATTTTGAAGATGACATTCCCAAAACTCGGGCCGAAATCTAGCCTAGGCCTTGACGTTGACAGTCAAAATGCACAGAATATGTTATGTACTAAAAATTAGGTAGCGTACGTACGCGGCGGATGTACAGTACGTACTGCGCGCGTCCGTGGTCGATCCGGTCATCCGGTTGACATCGAGGCAATTTTTAAACCTCGGCTCAATTTAGTTTCGGGCTCAAGCTGGATGCAGAATCATTTTTGAAGCTTGTTATTTATATTTAAACCGACTAAAAGTACTTTACATTCGGCCTCTTATACAATAGTTTACAACAAGAGATATCAATGTATGAATATTGAGCCAGAGCCCTATCTCTAAAAAATGGGGGCTTAAAAGTGCCTCCACAGCACTCTTTGAAATGAAACCTAGATTTTGAAAATATCCTTAGAGCACGTACACGTACGTACACATCGTACCGTACCGATCCCATCTCGGTAATCACGAACGCACAGTGCAAATGCCTGCTAAACTTGAACACAGTCCTCTTTAATCATTATATCACATCCGGGAAGCTTACTTAGTAAGTATTAATTATCTTTATGCATGAAATAGCATTCACTATCAACATTAGCAGAGGAATATCTTGATCTTGGTTAGTAGTATTATGCTGGACCCTACATGCACTGCTTTAAAGCCGTAAATAGGTTTTGGGCTGTGAAAAAAGGGAAGCGCAATCTTATGCTTCTCTACGTCTAGCGTTTAGCAAGCGCCCTCTATTGTTCCAGCGACTACTGGTTGCTAAAAAATACGAAAATGGCACGCTTCGTAAGACGATCAGCAAGATCCCTGCTTTATTTCAACAAAACGGAAAATGGTGTAAAGCACTTACCTGTATTTGGTAGATGTTTTGCAAGCAGTGGTGGTGATTCTCCTGATGATCTTCGCGTTCGTTATTTAGAAGGCGAATATTTAGGTAATATCAATCATAGCAACTTTGGTGTGTGTGTCGTGATTTTTTTTGGGGGGGGGGGTTGGGGGGGCGGTGGGGTTGGGTGGGGGTGAGGAAATTGTGTAGCTGGGGGGGGAGCTTTTCAAAACATGGAGGAAAGAACAGACAAAGCGACCAAACTCTTTTGAAGTTGGAATGATTAGGCCAACTAAAAAAAAGAAGGTTTTCCTTACGGTACCTCTACCTGTCTACCCGATAGCTGGAGTTACGTTACCCAGCCCTAAATGTTATCATTGGGTTGTCATTTAGCCAATCACAACTAGCATGAACAACCCAACTTTTGGGGGTTGCAAAAGTGGATCCCGGAAATCGTTCTCGCACGCACAACACAAGAATGAAACAAAAACACCCAGTTTTTAAAGGATAGTTGTGTGGATGTTAATATCCCACTTTTAAATGTTCGTTCCGATCAACAGCATTTCGTTCAAAGCGCATTTTGTAGCCCAATTGGGCTCATTCCAGGACGCAGTGTCCCTGACTTAGTTCAACTCGAGTCACAAATTCAGTGATTTGTTGAGTAGATTCTTCTCTTCTTCTCTTCTGCTGCAGGGGTGGTGGTGCTTGCCTTCAACCGACCAGAGGCAAAGAATTCATTCAGTCGAAATATTCTTGAGTTGGTGAGTAACAAACTGCGACAGTTTTAATTTGACAGATTTACAGGGTGAGTAAAAAAAAACGAAACCCATAAGTCGGGACTAGGTTTTATTGAAGTTCTGCATGTAGCACTCTCAAAATCTAGGACATAAAAGCCCAATTCATCAGCTTTCTTTTAGTACAAAAATCATTCAAATCACTCATGTACTTTTCAAGTACTTTTTTAAACACAACCACCGTTTTAAGGTTCTGTCCACGGATCACAAAAAAAGGTGTGCGTTCTTTCAGCAAAATGATTTCTTTTCGTTTCGTTTCTTTTTCTATTTGTTTAAGATATGTAGAATAATTACACATTGCGCAGCTACGCCAAGCTTAATGTAATTGATCGTAAGTTTATTGCCCAGCTGCGCAACAAATTTGTTGTGTAAGTCCTATGCATGGCGTAAGTTGCACACTGTTCGTCAAATCGGCTGCAGGTGTCATTCAACATGGACTACAGTTTGAAGTTTTGTCATTATTAAATTGTGTTTCTTTTTCTCCAAAGCTTAAAGATGCAGTGTCAACTATCACTTATGATAAGAATGCTCGGGTGGTGATACTCAAAAGCGATGTACCAGGAATATTTTCTGCAGGTACTGTAGAACTTCACTGATTTGCCTTGGCATCAGAAGGAAATAAAAATGTCACATTTTCACTTTATATTTGTCAAACAAGGCGTTGATATTTCAGATCAACATATTGATCAATTGAAAAACAGAAAATCAATGTTTTAAAATAATTCTACATGTATTTTGAAATGTGAATGTATTGACCATTGACCAATAACAGGATGTTTGGAGACTTATAAAAACACTTCAAAAACAACAGAAAGTGAAAATATCTCTTCAACCTCTTTTGTTTGATCGGTCACAGACAGTCAAAAATTCAATCCTGTTTCCCTGCCATGCCTTTTACACAGAATAGTCACCAACAGTCAGATCACATTTCTTGTAGGCACTGTGACAGTCAAATTCCATCAACAGACAAAAGCAGGTGACTGGTAGGCACAGCTGGCTTATCAATCTCCTGCAGTCAAAGCACAGCTGTATCAGGGTTCATAACAATTACAGCCAGTCAATCCTGCTTTATGAAGTCAGGGAGCACTAGAAACAGTCACTTGATTTATTTTGACTGCTGGGCTAGCCTTGTTGACATTGCCAGCCAGAGAGGTTAATCTACATATATCTACAGTGTTGATTTTTTTCAGATTCAGGATGCTTCTCAGAAAAATATAGAACTCAGCATTAATTCAGTTGTTTTACAGGTCAGGTGATATTAGTAATCACCAAGCAATCACAAAGGAATGCCCAGCTGAATGTTCAACTGAATAACTATGGAAATTATCTATTATTATTATTGTGGGGTGCTGTGGTCCAATGGTTACGGTGTTCGACTCATGTGCCGTGGTACATGGGTTTGAATCCTGACCGTGGGAATATGGTGCTTGTGATCTTGAGCAAGGCACTTTACCATTATTGCTTCCTCCTTCGGATGGGACGTAAAGCCGTAGGTCCCGTGTGTTGTGTAATGCACGTTAAAGAACCCAGTAACACTTATTGCTAAGAGAAGAGGTTTACCCCAGTGTTTCTGGCAGTGGCTGCAATGTGCGCCGCAGCACCTTGTAAACCTTATTTCTCGTAAACTTCATGTACCTGTCTTTAATTATAGACATAATTTCCAGCGCCTTGAAATTGTTGGCAGCACCTTGTAAACCTTATTTCTCGTAAACTTCATGTACCTGTCTTCAATTATAGACATAATTTCCAGCGCCTTGAAATTGTTATTTAGATACCTGCGCTATATAAGACTCCGGTTTTATTATTTTTTTATCTGCCGTTATTTATGTCATTATCTTTCTTGGATGGTTTTAGATTGCATTTTTGTTCCTCCACAGGGGCTGACCTGAAGGAACGTGTCAAGATGAAACCCAGCGAGGTCGGCCCGTTTGTCAGCAGTGCGCGCAGGCTGATCTCAGACATCGGCGATATGCCCATGCCGGTCATCGCTGCCCTAGACGGTGTGGCGCTGGGCGGTGGCCTGGAACTTGCCTTGTCGTGCGATTTCAGGTTAGCAGGTGGGTTTACAATCTCAGTTCTCGCTCGCATCAGTAAAATCAGTAACCGTAGCTTTGGGACTTGCAGTTTTGTACTCCTTGATAAAACACTAAACACAATCGGATCCAAATTACATGTACAACTTGTGGTCTTTGACGATATGTGTGCATGTGTGATATGTGTGAGATGTAATTGAGTCCATCTCAAGTCAGGTCCCAAGTAGCGAATAATTTTCGGGGAAGGGAGTTTCCAAACAGCCTGAGACTGATGATTTTAAAGGGAATATACAACATTTGCAAACATCGAAAAATAAAACTACCAAAATGTTTGCGAAATACCTTACTAGGATGTTGGTAAATGACAGTCTAAAGCATCCTGTAAAATTATGGCACCTGGTGTGAAGTCATTTTTAAGAAAATGGTATATTTGTATACCTTTCCAACGGTGGTCGGCCGACCACCGTTGGAAAAACCTAACTTGTTTCAACTACTGCTCCAAATTTACCACTTTTTTCAGTCCAAATTTTGTTTGCTATTAGTTAAATGTTCATGAACGGGTGCAGGCCAGCTAGACTGGTTCCCTTACCTTACCATTTTCCGGCATCTATAAATTGATCCATTTCATCTTTAGTGGAGTCAGGGAACCAGACTACTTAAACATTTTTGTTTTCTTGGTTTTTCCAGCATTTTCGAACACAAAACTTCAAACATGTCAGTGTAACAATATTTGATCTCTTATACTTACCCCTCAAATAGTTAATTTCTAAAATGTACAGCAAAAGCCAATGATGTACATTCCCTTTAAGCCATGTCTGCATGCAGGGCACCCTGCCCAAGAGAGCCATGTGTTCGGCGTGGCAATTGTGTGGCTATCCTTCTTTTCCCCTCCTTAGCCCCGACCTTTCCCCTCCCTAGCCCCCCCCCCCACCTCCCCTCACGAGCATGACTCATGAGTGCTGAATTTGTGATGACTTGTAATTACTTATGTAGCCTTACAATGATTAGTGGAGACTTGTGATGACTTAATTACATGCATTTATAACCCTGGTACTTTTCAGCGAGCACAGCCAAGATGGGACTGGTTGAGACACGTCTTGCAATCATCCCAGGGGGAGGTAAGACCCATCTCATGCGTAAATGATAAAAACAGAACTAAAACAGGATTTTGGAACATTGATATCAATTGACATCAGGTGTGTTTGTTGATCTGGTGAACCGATAGAATTGGAAAGGTGTGCAGCAGGATTTAGGCCTGCAAGATTGTCTACATGTAAATCCTCCCAGTGGTTTTTGAAGGATCTCAAACAGTTTGGGTTTAATTGATTGATTAATTTGGTTTACTGTTATTTAGAAACAAAGGCATGCTGTTGCTTTTGTCATTATCAAAGTAAACACCAACAAAGTAAATCACCAACAGTACATTTGATCAATTACAAAAAAAATTGGTGTTTTGACCTTTTTTTGAGTCCAGGTGGAACCCAACGCCTGGCCCGTCTGATCAACCCAGCCAAAGCCAAGGAGCTCATCTTCACCGCCCGCGTCTTTGATGGGGCGGAGGCGGAGAGACTGGGCGTGGTGAACCGGGCCGTGGAACAGAACGAGAAAGGGGAGGCGGCTTATGAGGCGGCGCTGGAGTTGGCCAAGGAGATCATACCGCAAGGCCCAGTGGCCGTCAGGATGGCCAAGAAGGCAATCAATAGGGGGCTGGAGGTAAGCTCTGTGGTAGAAGGGACAGAGCTGTTGTCGAGCCCATTACTATTCAAATCACAAGTCAAATCACAAGTCAGTCACAACTCGAATCGGAAAAAAAGTCACAAGTCAAATCGCAAGTCAGATTGGTCAGTCACAAGTCAAATCACAAGTAAGTCACAAGTTAAATCAGAAGTAAGTCACAAGTAAGTCACAAGTCAAATCAGAAGTAAGTCACAAGTAAGTCACGAGTTAAATCAGAAGTAAGTCACATGTCAAATCACGTCAGATTAGTCAGTCACAAGTCACATCACAAGTCAAATCACAAGTCATATGAGTCAGTCACAAGTCAAATCACAAGTAAGTCACAAGTTAAATCAGAAGTAAGTCACAAGTTAAATCACAAGTTAAATCAGAAGTAAGTCACATGTCAAATCACGTCAGATTAGTCAGTCACAAGTCAAATCACAAGTCAAATCACAAGTCATATGAGTCAGTCACAAGTCAAATCACAAGGAGGTCACAAGTCCGTCTCAAGTTAAATCAGAATTAAGACACAAGTCAGTCACAAGTTAAATCAGAAGTAAGTCACAAGTCAAATCACAAGTCTGTCACAAGCCAGTCACAAGTCAGCCACAAGTTAAATCAGAAGTAAGTCACAAATCAAATTACAAGTCAGATTGGTCAGTCACAAGTCAAATCGAAAGTCTGTCACAAGTCAGTCACAAGTCAGCCACAAGTTAAATCAGAAGTAAGTCACAAGTCAGATCACAAGTCTGTCACAAGTCAGTCACAAGTCAGCCACAAGTAAAATCAGAAGTAAGTCACAAATCAAATTACAAGTCAGATTAGTCAGTCACAAGTCAAATCACAAGTCAGTCACAAGTCAGTCACAAGTCAGCCACAAGTTAAATCAGAAGTAAGTCACAAGTCAAATCACAAGTCTGTCACAAGTCAGTCACAAGTCAGCCACAAGTTAAATCAGAAGTAAGTCACAAGTCACATCACAAGTCTGTCACAAGTCAGCCACAAGTTAAATCAGAAGTAAGTCACAAGTCAAATCACAAGTCTGTCACAAGGCAGTCACAAGTCAGCCACAAGTTAAATCAGAAGTAAGTCACAAATCAAATTACAAGTCAGATTAGTCAGTCACAAGTCAAATCACAAGTCAAATCACAAGTCATTCACAAGTCAGGTCACAAGTTGATCACAAGTCAGATTAGTAATTTACAATTCAAATCCCAAGTCACGAGTCAAGCCACAAGTCAGTCACAAGTTAGATTAGTCAGTCAATTGTCAAATCACAAGTCTCAAGTAAGTCATCGTCAGCTTGTCAAGTCACGTCACAAATAACAGGCCTGGGGATGACCATTGACGAAGGAAGGCCTTTCTTCACAGGGCAATGAGTAGCTTGTAACTTGACTTGAGATTGTTGAGGAAATTTGAAGACTCAACTGCATCTACGCTAACAGCAACCTGATATCACAAACTGAAATTATTCGACATGCGTTTCATTTCAGGTCGATTTGGCGTCCGGATTGGAATATGAGATGGCGTACTATGCACAGGTAATTTGTACTTTTATTTTTTTTTGTTTGGGGCAATACCAAAAAGCCTTAAAAGTGTTAAAGTAGAACTTTACATAGTAAAAATAGCATTGTTGCAATTATGACCAAAATCAAATAAATAGTCAAACAAGGAATAAAAAGTTATATAGTAACTTATGCAGCCTTGGTTCCCACAGTAGCAAAGTGCATTTATCATGTTAATAGGCATACAAGCTGGTTTACCCGATCATAGATCGGGTAGGGCGTAGTGTTGGGGATGAAAATGTGGGGAGTTAAATGTAAATGGGGGATATAGTTGGTGAGACATGCAGTTAAAGAATAGCAATTTCTGTGGTGTGATCTGAGGCAATTTCTGATCACTAAAACCAATTTGAGCGAAAGATCATCTGTGAAAGTTTTGAGTTTTGAGTAATTGAATCAGCTACATGTATTCTGAGCAATAGAATCATTATTGTAGGCTACAATATTTTTATTCGGGGAAGAAAAAGTGTGGGGGGGGGGAGACCAAACAATGTCCCCCCTCATAATGTGCGTGTGTGTGGGGGGGGGGGGTCCCCTGTCCCCCGTCGATTTACGCACATGATAATTATGTACCATGGCAACTGTCTGTAAATGTTGCCGTTGGTCTGTTAAATTGGCTTTTTGTGAGGCAGTCGCATTTGGAAAACGTAGTGAAAAGGTTACTGTAGTACACAGGCGAAGGCTGGTTGTACAGTTTGACAATAAATCATAATGCAATAAAACGTGAAGGTGTCATTTAAAATGAAAATGTTGAGTGTTACCAAAAAATTACAAACGGTCTGAATCATGGAGGAAGGTCATAATTAAGTTTCAGTATTGGACTCTTCAACAAACGTAAACTTGAACTTCTTACAATTTGCGACACCGTCTGCGATTCAACTTTTATTCAAGTTGGTTCAACCATCTATATATAAGAGCAAGTTTTACTCGGCCTCCGAGAAATGTTTGCTTCTGAAAGGATCCGAGACCGCGGCGATCCTTCGTTGACCCAAAACAGGCCCCCGAAATTATAACACGACACTGAATTATACCATGGAGGAATTCTTATTCCTCCATGATTATACGTGGCGGGCAGCGAACTCACAACGCTCAGCCTTGGTGGTGTAAGCATGGAGCTGTAAACACATTATGGAAGCAACAGCACTCTATCACGTCACATGCTTGCGCTTCAAATGGCGAGCACCGTAGACCCAACCTCGTTTCCAGGGTGTGGAGCAGGCTGCAGTACGCGTTGCCATCGACAGTTTTGCATAGCCCGGAAATACTACGCAGTGTAGACTTTCGATTGGTCAGACCGCGCAAGGCATACTTAATGTGTAGTCCTTCTGAGTATTCGTTGCACTCGGTGCAGGGGCGGCAAGCGAAGCATATGAAAGAATAGGAGCACTTGGTGGCCACGCACCATGGAGAAAAAATATTTTACCAAGGTCACCCCATCCACAATTTGGTGAACGCTTTTGCAGAACGGCCGAGTAGAACACGTAAACGCAACCCCTACGTTGACCTCGCTGACCTCGCACAGTCTAGACACGCAGAAAAGCCAGCACAGGGGGCGGCCAGGCAGTCAACGTGAAAGCGCACACGACGGCAAATTCCTGCGCAAAATGCAGTCACGAAAAATCGACGAAACGGATTGCCGGTCCGTACGGGAAAATCAGGACGACACGAAGTGTCCGACCCGGCGGAAGACACCCTCCGCCTTTTTCCACGGACGTGGAGCGATTCTGGCGCCGCGGGAGCCCGCGGTCTCGGATCCTTTCATGAGCAAACATCGTCTCGGAGGCCGAGTTAAACTCTCTCTTATATATATAGATAATTATGTTTATGATAGCCAATCATATTGAACGTACCTTTTAATGGAATACTTTCTGTTATACTGTTTTCTGTTATAGGTTATTCCTACCAAAGATAGGGCCGAAGGACTGACGGCTTTCAGAGAAAAGAGGACTCCAAACTACACAGGAGAATAGCTGGACAATCTGATCACATATTTGAATGTATAATAACAAGCAGGCCTAGTAAACCTGGTCCGTGAGTGCAACAAATCTATTCAATTGATTCAGAACGGCTATTCACTGGGAGTCTTTTTCATGCATCTGGGCCGGATTTGACCCATTAACCCTAACGTACCTGAATCCATCAAAATCCACATCCCCGTTTCGGGGGATTTCGGCGGATTCAGGATACCTCCATATTGCACAAACCGGGGGACTTTGATGGATTCAGTATTGTAGACCTAGCGGAACTGCAGGATTTTGATGGATTCAGGATCCCTCTGTACTGAGCTGTTTGGGCACTTTGGCGGATTCAGCATCTCAACAGATTTACTCCCGGCTAATTGGTGGATTCTGATGGACTCACTGGCCACCAACATTTTTTGCATGGCAAAATTGATGGATTTTGGCGGATTCAGGATACTTCCTAGTAAAAGAGCCCAAGGGGTTAGGGTTAAGGGCAGACTGGGACCGTGAGTGCATAAAAACGTGCAACATTACTACTGACGTTTTTTTACTCACCATTTGGCTAATTAATGCCCACACAACACATACATCAAAATGCTATAGTTGCAAGCATGTCACCTGCAAAATTTGAGACCTTAAATCCAATTTTAAGGCAAGGTTTTGGCAGTTCAAAAACCACCCACGTCATTCTCCATGCTCTGGAAATATGTGTGTGATTCCCAATGTATTCTGAGTAGGTGCAGGAAGAGCCTTGCAGCTTACTTGTTTTTTAATCAATGGCCAAATGAACATAGCGCCCTCTGCTAAAAAATGAAACATTTTGCATTCACTCAGATCAACAAGAGGGCGCTGTTTTATCTACACGATGAAAATGTTATAGCTGAGGAGTCTTTTTGCACAATGCATTGCAGTACACATAAACGTGATGTCTCACTTATGGATTTCGATAACTCTCTGCAAAATTAGAATTAAAAGCTGAATTTTTGGTGATTCAATGCTCACAACAGCAACTTTGCTAGGCAGAAGTTTCGGGGATTATTGAAGAAACTGTAGTGAGTAAGAAGCTTGCAAATTTGATTCACACTGGTTTTATCATGCAGCACAAAGTTTTGCACGATATGGATACCTTAAGTTTTGGGACTCTCATACACAGTATTGAGAGTCCCAAATTTTCGGACTAGGTTAAGGGGTAATCCTATACAATAGCACTGCCCGGCTCTCTTCACCGGCCAACAACCAGGCTAAGCGACAAGTGACAGTCAGTCAGCTATTCAGTCAGTCGGTCAGTCAGTCAGTCAGATCAGGACAAAGAGGACACTAGGCTGGCCCTCTGGGAGCTGACAAAGGAAGTGGCTTCAACTGCTTCCATAGGCGCGTGCATCATTGCTAGCAATAGCCATGTAATTCAGGCACAGCCTTTTCAAACAAACCATAGAAATGTATGGCTCGCGACTGGCGCCTCATGCCCAAAGACATGCACAAAATGGGAGATCGCCAACATTGGTCTGATGATAGCTCAGTTGGTAGAACCACTGGTATGGTATCCCATACCAGCACTCAAACTGTAGGTTAAAATCCTTGCTCTTTGTCAACTTTACATGATATTGAATGATGAAACTGTATTCCTGTTTATTTGTTGGTGCCGTCTATTTATATTTTTATTTAATGGAAAATTTGCCAGTGATTACAACAGTGGATCTAAGTATCTAAAGAATCTCGCCACAGAGTGCCTTCCAACACTAAGTTTGTCTGTGTTAAAGTAGATACGTCTGAAAGAATATGTTACAAAACTTAACGAAAGACTTCGCTCTGATTTTCAAACCCGAGCCATTTTAAGGGCAATTTTAGGGCTATCTAAAGAGGCAGATCTAGCTTTCTGGAAAGGGGGGGGGGATTGTTAAGTGAAAGTGTGCCGAGTGCATGCCTTACTAGGGGCTCGGGTGGGGACATTTTGAAATCTTAGTCAATTTGAGAATAAATTCAGGCATGCATCTTTTCCTCGGATCCGCTGATTTCCTCGTTTTTTTTTACTTCTCATGAATGCAATTACGAATTGAAAAACACCGTACAAAGTCTTGTGTGGTTCGGAATTTCCTCATTTGTTTTCTAAATTCCCAGTAGTATGCCTGTAAATTAGGAACTTTAGCATTCCTTAAATTTCCCCCAACAGTAACAATAGTCAGCAGCTTAAAGGGAGGGGGGGGGGGGTGGTTGAAACCCCTTCCCAATCCCCAACCCCTCTCTAGATCAGGCATGCAACTGAGAATTTAGAGAAAAAAAACGAGGAAATTCCAAACCACACCAGACTTTGTACAGTGTTTTTCATTTTGTAGGCCTAATGGCAGTCACGAGAAGTAAAAAACCCAAGAAATCAGCAGCTCCAAGCAAAAGTTTCATCCTGCTAGTTCTGTTACTGATTTATATCATGAAATGTGATGTTACAGAGAGTAAACTAAATAAAACAGCAACAAATATGTAACAATGTAACGCTTATCCTTGCTTTGAAACTTCACATTTATTTCATAGTTGTAACCATCACCCAGGGGCTTAGGTAATCAAAGATTTCTGAAAAAGAATTATACAAATAGAATGAGATAAAAACGAGATAATGTAAATTTCAGAGAGAGAGAGAGAGCTAAGATTTTAATCAGCTTATTTTCCAAATACCCATGAGGTTTGCCTGGATGCTCTATATAACAGGGGTGAGATTTGTCAGGATTTTTCCTGAATTCAGGATTCGTTGAAAAGATTCCTGTTTGAAATCTGGAATTCATGAGGTTTTACTGTAGAGGTGTTTTTACCTATAAATGCGTATATGGTGCAAAAGAAATGTTTTTTTAAGGGGTGTCTTTAGGCAAATACAAGCATACACCTAGGACCTCGGGGCCCTCAGTGACACTGAAACCCTCCGCCAGTCATTTTCGTGGATTTCTCATTTCCCCCAAATCTCACCCCTGATATAAAGCTACGACTTGTGAATGAACTAATTATTTTTCCTACGAGTTGTGCAGGGAGGATACAGGATTTAAAACCAAAAAAATGTAATTGAAAGACATTAAAAATACCTTGTATACCAACTACTGGAACTTTGCATAACGAGAATGGTGAATGAATTACCAACTGTCGTTTCACAATTTTCAATTGTACCTTGTAACTTCGACACTTCAAGTCAATACTGGTTGCTACTAATGTTGCCATGTTTTGCTTTAAGATGGCTTTCGTTGGTATAAACATTCACAGAGATGTAGGCCTAAAGTGAAATATTGAAGTATGAGACTTTTAGGCTTATGATATCGTCATGGGCGTCGCAATGGGAGGGAGCAAGGGGGGCACTTGCCCACTCCGGAAAAGCCACACAAAAAAAAAAGGAGAAAAAAAAAACCATGAAAGAAAAAGAGGCGCGGAGTCATAATGGTATCAATTTAATGGGGGGGGGGTGGTTAAATGTCCCTGCCCCCCTCGAAAAATGATAAATCCAGAATACGCTGAAAAAGTACAGGGATTTTGGGGAAAATGTGCTTTGGCCCCCTCTACAAAAAAATCCTGGTGACGCCCATGGATATCGTTCATTTTGTTTTCTCCATTTCAAAGAAATTTTCCCCCTAGCTGTTGTGGTATTTAGGGTGAAAAGTCAAGTGATACTATCTAATTTAGGTTGTAACGTCTAATTTTAAATCGAGAGAGTAATTTTATCCAGTGGTTTTGTCCTACACAGTGACAAACTAATATCACTCGGTCACTTCTAGTTACTTCTTTGCTATCTAGTTGTTAAAGTTGTAGGTTCTAATTTTAAATCGACAATCGGAATATTTATCCAATGGTGTTGTCCTACATAGTGACAAATTAATATCACTCAGTCACTTCTAGTTACTTCTTTTCCGGCCAATCACAGTACGGTAGGCCTTCTCCGTCATCCAGACAAGCCACACCAGCAGGGCAGGTTGAAAACATGCCACATTGTGTTTCTGGGAAATTGAAAAAAAAAAAAAAAAAAATTCAGTCTTGGTGAGTTAGACAGGAATTCCTTATCAAAAGTCGACTGTCAACTAAACTGTTTGAATTTCAATTTGTCTTTTTAAAACTCACTAAGGTAGGGTCAGTGCAAGCACCTTTGAAAGATTTAGGCAAAGGTAATTAATTATGCATCACATTTCATTTTTTTTTTTATTATTCCGAGGAGGTAAACAAAATATTTGAAAATTTATGATGGGAAAAAAAGAGATGAAAACAGAAAATTAGAGAAATATGTAAATATTTACCCCCCTCTTCCCGTGCCGACAGCCTGTCACGTAACTCGACCAGTAACTCCCTCAGTTTTTCTGTCAAGTAAAATTACCAATTATTCTCCGTTAACATGTAGCCATAAAAACTCGGCTGATTGTTCCTTTTTGGGGGGAATAACAGAAAATTGTTTATTTTCGGCATCTTCACGATAAGTAAATAAGAAATACAGCTACTATAGCGGGGGAGGGGGGGGGGGATTTACCCCCCAAATATTTTGTAAAGACTGCCCTTTTCCATTCAAATGTCCTTTTTTCCACCAGTGCTTAAACCCCCCCCCCCCCAATATTTCTAAAGAGTGCCATTCATTTTTTTTTCAGAACAAGTGCCCTTTAAAAAAACAAGTCGTGCCCTTTTTATTTCTATCGGCCATTACAGGTTCCTTTTTTTACGGATTTTTACTGAAAACTCATTTCAGCATTGATTTGGTAATTTGGTGATGAACCCCCCCCCCCTTCAAAAATTCCTAGATCCGCCCCTGGGACTTGACCTACATGTACAACATACAGCTTTAAGTGTCCGGAGAAAAAAAAATGTCTACATTTCAGCATGGAAATGCAAGTGCCCTTTCAAGAAATGTCCCCCCCCCCAAAAAAAATGACCTTGCTACACCCCTTGGAACCGTTAAATGCCAAGAAAGTAAAAGTGGGCACAGCAGAATTTTACAATTAGAATTTGTTATGGGTTTTTTTTGGGGGGGGGGGGGAGAGGAGTCCTTACCATTCTTATAATCGCTGGCAAAGACCAATCCGATGCAGATCATCAGAACACCAATG